TTCAGCGGGCAATAAAGTATCAGCAGGTTGTACTTCAGTGACTACCGGAGTTTTAGCGGACAAGCCAGTGCTAGCAACAGCAGCTGCAGCAGAAACTGCTACAACTGCCGTTGAGGCAGCAACTTCATGGGGTAGCGCGGCCTCACTGGGGTCGGGATTCCTGTTCGCCGTCGCGGCAAAGACCAGTTTCGAGATAACAGCAGCAACAGCAGCAGAAAGCTCCAGCAAGCTGCAGAAAGCGGCAGCTATGCCGCAGCAAGCTTCCTCGCATGTGCCCCGTTCTGACTTGGATAGAGCACATGGTGCTTCTGCTGCAGTAGCACAGGCTGTCAGTCGAACTGAACTTTCTGCCGCAGGAAGCACCAGACATTCAGGCAATGCAGCACCTGCAGAGACGGCGGCAGCGCCGGGAACAACAGCATCGCAGCTGTAACAGCAACGGAGGCAGCAGTCGGTGGGAAGGAACGGATTTTATGCCTGCCCTTGCAGGACAACTGCAGCAAAGGCGCAGCCCGTGACGTAACCATTAAGAGCTGCTGCTGCAGCTGCGAGTTAATCTGCGTGTGCAATTTCGCTGTTGGGTCTTCAGATATTCTCTTACTTTCAGCGGCAAACGGCGGCGATACATGGCTACTGCGGTAGCATCCGTTGCTGCTGCTGAAATAAGCCATACTAACGGCCAGCAATAACAGTGACAGCAGCTGCAGAAGCTCAGTTCCGAACTGAGCAGCGGTGGGGCTGGTGAATTGCTGTTTCTCTTTCTGTTGATTATTGCTTCTTGCTCGCTTCTTTTGCCCGTTCTAGTTCGTTGCTGTTTATTCTATTGCTGCTGTTTCCAGCAGCAAACAAGCAGCAGCGGCTGCTGCGGCTGTAACAGCAGCCGCAGGGCACTTGACTGCAGCTTTTGTACTGCTGTCATGCGGTGTAACACGTGGGGCTAGTCGTAGCACACAAAGAAAGGAAAAGCAGACGTGGTGCTCAGACCTATCCGCCTGGGTGTTTGCATAGATACCGAGGCCCCCTGTAGGCCGGCTGGTGGGGAAGGTCGCTTCAACTCATGAACTTCAGTTTTTGTTTGTTTCATTTAAAGAAAATGGAAATTTAAGGACAAGAGCGCAGCGAGGACAGGCTGGTACTTCAAGATGCCCTAGGTAGGCGTGCACTGCCTGTAAAGGCACAGAAGAAACAGGTGTGCACGCATGCATAAGTAGATACACACCTAGATATTCTTGCGCCTAATGTATTTATAATGACGAACACGTAGAAGCCAGACGGACACAAATAAACCTGGAAGCTTGTTGAAATGGATCCCTCTATAGATGCGTGCATTGGAGTACAAAACCAAGGCCAGCGATAGGTGCACGTTCATGTTACATGTATACATCCGTACACGGCTTCATGTACACACAATGTTGAATGCAGGGTGCTTGCATACTTACATATGAAACGATGCTTGTTTGTTTGTACAAGGCTACACGCCCACACAGTTATAGGTGTGCCTCCAAATAGACACCAAGCTAACGCACGCATATACACATATGTATTGATGACAAGCATATGCTCGTGCAAGTGTAGGCGCATGCCTGCGTTCACGCTTCGGTGCATGAAACGCACACTTGCACATGTGGACGTGCGTAGGCACAGAGCGAGAGCGTGCTGTGAATTTGTGCATGCATTCATGGTAGCATTTGACTTTCCACGCTTGTAAGCAGGCGGGTGTTTCAGGGTCCAGGGAATGCTCGTACATGTGCATCCGTTGTGATCGGTATTCGCTTGTGTACTTGCAAAAGGCCTGTTATGAGGTCTATACTCGGAGCTCGACGTAAAGCGGAGCTCACTGCGGATGCTGTGGTGGTGTGGACTTCTGCTTCATTCACTTAAATGAAAGGGAACACAGTTGTACAGGAAGTGGTACGCCTCAACGGTAGCGTTCGTGAGGTATTCAGCTTCATTGTCTATTCAGTTGACTCTAGTTTTGGCTTATAATTGAGTATGTTTATGGGGCAGTTCGAGGAAGAGAGAAATGTGCAACAGGGAACTCGCGGTCGGCGCCCAGCTGCCGAACCGCCGCCGACAGTCTCGATTGGCTTTGTAGAGGATCGCAGCCTCTTGGAATACCCTACTAAATTTGAATAAAGAAAAAGTATATTTTAAACCGTACTATGCTGTTAATGAACAGCAAAGGGGGACTTGAGACACCAGGTGGGCCCTTCCTTCGGGGTCCAAGGCGGCAGCACCGCCGCTGCGAGCTGGGGCCCCAGGGCCCCCGGGAAGGAAAAAGCATTTTTAGCTTACGTTAAGTACAGTTACTTTTGTCGTTTGTTCTTCTCTTGCTGTCGCAGTCCTACTTGTGTCTCATATACGTGCGTCGGGCTACAAAAGAGGCGAATACCTCGCCAGGAGCGACCGCGGCAGCTGCTTTCCCTCTTCTTCTCCATTTTTCCTCATTATCTGCAAATAAGAATAGATACAGAACTTATGTTCTAGTCATAACGTATTTGTTTCTCCAGCTAGCTGCTACTGCACGCCCTGTCCCCGCCGCACAGGCGCAACGTCAACCGTAGCTCCTACTTTTTTTCAGCCGCAGCTGCTGCTGCTGCTGCCACTGCTGGCGCAGTTAGTGGCGTTGCTTTTTCTGCCTCTTTGGGACCTGAAGCTGCTGTTGCTGCTGCTGCTGCTGCTGCTCCGAGTTGGCGCATCAGCTCAGCCCATGGGGACCCCCCTCGCGCTAGTCTTCCTCTGCAGCTGCAATGGAAATTAATGGTTCTGTCTCCAAGCAAAATGAACCTTCCCTTCTTCTCTCGGAGTCCCTTGTAAGGACTCCCTGGGGGCTCTGCCTGGGCCCCAAGAAGGAGTTTTGGACCCTTCACGGCCTTCTGATGCGCCACAGGGGCGTCCCCACTCGAAAGCTGGCGCTGCTTCTGCCACAAATATTGCTCTTGGCTGTTGTTCTGCTGAGTTCCCCCGCCTGCTGCCGTGTGGTGTTTGTGTCTCCCCATGGGGGGCCCCTGCTTGGCGTTTCTGCGTCTGTGGACGCTGAGTTCGCCCCCTGGGGGCCCCCCGTAGAAGAGGTGGTGGGGCAACTGATATATAAAGGCAGCAACTGTGGGGCCTCCGACCCCACGCTGCTGTCGGCCACCTCTCTGGACTTCCGCCCCAAAATTCTGCGCCTGTCGCTGCTGAGTGCCCTTGACTGGCTGGCCACGCGGCTGCTGCCCTTTAGGAGCAGGCTACGACAGGGGCACCACAGTGGGCCGTTTTCTGCTGCTCTTACTGACTTCCACTTTGTCCCTGGTGCTGCTGCAGAAGAAGCTTCAGCGCTGCGCGCGCAAGCGCTGGCTGCAGGGACGGATCCGCTTGCTGCTGTTTCTGCAGCAGCAGCAGCAGCAGGCACAGAGGCATCTGCGCCAGCTACAAAGGGCGATAGCTGGCGCTGGGCAATGGAACGCACGGGAGCTGCTCGCAGGGAGTCATTAAAGCTGATGCTTCCCTTTAGCTCCTTCTTGTGGGTAGAGGGGAAGGGGCCCTGGGCGCCCCCCGAGGGCCCCCCAAGTGGCCCTCTCGGCGGTGCCACGACAAGCAAAACCTCCATTACCTCACTGCCAATTTCAGACTTTTCAGTGGAGTCGGACCACGAGCCCTCGCAGCAGCAGCTGGAGCAGCAGCAGCAGCAGCGCGAGGCAGAAGCTGCTACAGCAGCAACCGCAGAAGAGGGAGCCACTGCAGCAGACGCCGAAAGCGTAGCAGCAAGACAGAAAGAAGAGAGCGCCATGCGGGCAATGGAGGCAAGGGGCTTCTTTTTACGGGGACGGGAGCGGCGGCCAGAGAGCATCCACAAGAGGGTTTGGCTGCTTGATCAGTGCAAGGAGGAAGATCTGCTGCTGCTAATCAAGGCAGCAAACGGCTCTGGCGTTGCTGCGCTGCTGCTCACTGACACTCTGTTTAAGGACTACTCGGTGCCTTTGCTGGGCAACGTGTTCGCTCCCAAGCCCCTTATGCCCGTCGCCTCCGTGCCAGACTCCCCGCTGCTGCAGCAGGTGAAGCAGCACGCAGCAGCAGCTGCTGCAGCAGGGGCGGATCCGCTGTATGTACTGGTGGACCGGTTACCCTCGAAAGGCGCGGACTGTGGGGCGCAGCAGCCGGTGCTGCTCGCGTCGCTGCTGACTCTCCCATTTTGGTGCTTGCTGGCTTGGCTGTCGCAGCAACAGTGCGGGGAGGACAGGGGCCGCGACGTGACTGCGCTGCACAGGCTGCTGCTGCTGCCGCCGGCTCTGAAGGCCACAGCTGCTGCTGCACATGTCGTGTACGCCCTCCAGTGCCCCGCCTGGAATGCGCCGGGCTCCCAGTACATCATCATGGCGGTTATGGCTTCCGAGACGCTTTTTCAAACCCTATTCGTAGCATGCATCTTGCTTATCAGCAAGGGCTACCTTATCACCAGAGAAACACTCAGCAGCAGTGAAAGCATCGCCATGGCAGTGCTGGTAAGGCAACACAACACCGCAAACTGACTCTGATGTTAGTCGTGCTGCTCCCCTTGCTGCCGCTGCTGTTGCTGCTGCTTTTGCTGATACCACTTTGCTGCTTTGAGTTGATACATAACGCGTCGTCTTCGTTCAGTTGCTCCCTCTACCCCTTAATTCATGCTGACTGGCTCTTACTTGGCCGTACGTACGGCCAATCAACAGCCAGGCAGCATGAGCAGCGACGGCAGCCCAAGGTGTACGCACGCACACCTTGGGCCGCCGTCGCTACGATTCTCTGTGTTTAGCCGTCCTTTTTGCCTTGTTTTGAAGTTCGTTTTCTGTTTCTGCTGCCCCTCACCACTCTACAAAGTGGGAGAAATTGCTGCTGCTGTTTTCCATTGCTGTTTGCCGCTCATTTGCTGCTGCTGCTGTTGCTGCTGCAGATAAGCGCCGTGTATGTCATGAGCAGCGTCAGCCAAGTGGACCCCCTGGAATGCTTGCCGGCTCGTTTGGTTCTCCAGCTGGTCACTCTTGGGACAATTCTGCCCTCGTGCTCCAGCTGCATCCGAAAAATCAGGGTATGATTCCCTGGGTACACCTACACCTTAACTTTAGATGCGCAGTCATCGTTGCCTTGAAGTGTGTACAGACACTGCGCCTTCGGTGCATGTACAGAGCTCATTATCTTTCTTCTTGTATCGGTAGTAGCAGCAATTACACAAAAGGCGACAGCTAGCGGCGCACAGAATACCAGTCCAAATAACCACCACCAGCAGAAGCAACTGCAGCAAAAGCAACTGCAGTACAAGCAGGTGCCGCCAAAGAAATTGCAGCCGATGCTGCAGCTGTAGCTCCAGGCAGGACAGGCCCTGGCTATGAGCTCAAATAATGTACTTTGAGCTGTAGCTCGCGTCACTCTGCCTCTGCAGCTTCCACTTCTGCTCCTGCTACTTGTGCTACTGCTGCTACTGCTGCTGTTGCTATTCTTCTGCAACTGCTACTGCTGCTATTGCTGTTTCGCAGCTGCGCCTGGAGTACGTGCGTGCTGCGGGCCTTGAGGATTTGCGGCGGGCGTTGGAGCTGAAGGAGAACATGTTCGAAGTGCACGCTCTGTCGTGCTTTTTTTTCTTTGTGGTTTCCTGCCTCTCATCCATTTCTTTTCTCCTTATCTTAGACCGCCCTGACCTTTCCGATGCTGTCACCGTCTTCCTCGAGCTGGGCTTGTGGAGTGTCGTAGCAGCAACTTTCAGGCCTAGGCGAGGGCTCCCTTACTTCACGCTTCTACAGGTGAGCCTGCTGCAGCTGCTGCTGTCCGTGGTGGGAGTACTGTACTGCTGCTGCTGTCTTTGGCGGAAGCGCCGTTGCTGCTGTCCATAACAGCAGTGTTGCTGCTGCTGTCTGTGGTGGCAGTGCTGTCGCCGCTATGGTGGTAGTCCCGCTGCTGCGGGCGATTGTGATGATGTTGCTGTTGCTTCTGGGATGATCTGTCGTGTTTGGTCGCTGTGAACTTTTCCCTGTTTCCTTTTCTGCTGCCTTTGTCTTCCGCAGGCCGTAGAGCAGCAACCCATCTTGCCCATGTACGCAGCAACCCCGCTGCTGCGCTGCCAAGATGGGCTGTCAGATTGGGGAACTTCGCGCGGCGGCGCCGGCGGCGCCGGCCAGCTAGACGAGTCCTTTACGGGGGAATGCCCTATTCTGATTGTGAACCCATCAGCTCCAGGCTCCAACGCCGACGCCTACAAGGGCCTCGCTGTTGGCACTCTTATCGCCCCCCGCAACCCGCAAAGCTAACTACCAAGCGCTCCCACCGTCCGTAGCTGCTGACGCTGCGCAGGCGCCACCGAGGCCGTTCTGCAGCTGCTGTTAGCGCCCTTGCTGCTGTAGTCGCTGCTGATGGTGTTGCTGCTGTTGGCCGCAGTAAAAGAAGAACCAAGGTGGTTTCTCTTGGGCTCCTGTTGTTACTGCTACTGCCTTTGCTTCAGAAGCGGCAGCAGCAGCTCTTGTTGTTGCTTCACAGTGGTTGCGCCGCTGTGTTCACTTGTTTAGAACTAGTTCACCAATCGACTACTTCCAGACCCCTCATCCCCTCCAGCGCTACCTATGCCAGCACAACAATCTCAGCAATCAGAATAGTAGCACCAGCACCAGCAAACTCAACAATAGCATCCGTGAGCGAAGCCAGAAAAAAGAAAAGGCTGCGCACATCCTCCGTGGGCGGGCTCTGGGTAATTTTAAGAAGCGCCCCGCGTTTTTTTTGGATGCTGTTTCTTTGTTGCTGCATCTGCAGAAGCAGCACCATGTGCCGTGTTTTTCTTCCGACAGAACTGCAGCTTAACCGGTTGCGCGCTTCGGGCGCAGCACTTGTCTGCGCGTACTAGTGTCGTGTTTTGCAGCAGACAGAATAAGTAGCAGCAGCAGCGATTCAGCTGCTGCTGTTGCCGCTACAGCTTCTGCTGCTGTCACTGGAACAACAGGATTAACAATGTTCTCTACGGTCATCAGTGTTCACTCTTCCCCGATTTGTGGAGGCCGATATGAACCCATAGGGTTCCTTTGTTTGTTTTGTGCCCTCTTACGACGGCTAGCAGGAGCTGCACTGCGCTGCTCCAAGCAATTGACCAGGCTTCCAACTCCTCCTTTTAAGTTGATCTAATTCCGCCTTTGTGGAGCAGCGATGGGTGCCTCCTTTCTTTTTGGATTCTTCTGCAGGAAAGTATGCCTAGTAAACGCACGCAACTGATTGCGCGTTATCTGCCCTGGTGTTCTTGCATATGGAGTACAGGCACGAAGACTCTGTGCCTCCCCAAATACATATATACATATACATATTATACATATTATATATATATATATTGCACATATAGATCTATCACCATTCATCTACATTTGCACATGCTTTGCGTGTCCAGTTTGTTTCATGGATTTATATCTGCTCATTCGTCATGAGCTCACCTCGTTACCCACAGTGCCAAACTCTAGAGTTATCCCAGACCACGTTCAAAGCCCAACAGTGGCTAAAGCTGAGATCTACTTCCATGAATGCATATACACCCACACAAGTCATAGACAGCTATATGTATACCGCAACATGGCTCGCATTCCGGCGAAGTAGCAGGCCTCCGAGACACTCTCCTATGAACTTGTCTGCGGTGTATCCGTTCCTGCTCACGTTCCTAACGGTCTCTCAGGCCCGCAGTACAGGGCTCTCAGGAGCTACAAATCCCCAACAGGCCGCAGCAGCAACAGCAACAAGTGTCGGCATACAGAACGGCTTGATAATCGCTTGCAACAGCTAGCCGCACAAAGTACAATGCAGCCCCACTTCTATAAGACAGTTACGCATTTGTTTCGATGAGTAATTGTTTCCGTTTCCATGGGTGTCTTGACGAAACAGACAAACCAAGAAACAAGCGCAAGCTTGAAGTGCAGCAAAAGCTGGACGTCCCCTGCGCAGGTCGCAGGGTTCTGACCAACTCCGGCAGCAGCGTCGTTGCAGCAGCTGCAACAACAGCAGCAGCAGCCTTTGCTGCTACTCTCGCTGCGGCGGAAGCCCCTGCCTGCTCTCTCTGCCCTCTAAATTTACTAAGGCCTCCGACTCGAAGGCCCCTTGTAAGCTATAGTGGCTCTATAAAGACTGGCTGGCGACGGAAACTGACAGCAAAAGAACAAAGCAGCTCAGGGGGAACCCCCAGAAAACCCTTGGGGGACCCCGCGATAATGCTGAGCCCTCCGCGGTGTCTCTGCAGCCGCGGGGACCCGCGCCGCCTTTTAAATATTATCTATTGTATGTTTCGAAGACAGAGCTGAAGCGACCAGCAACCACCACTGGTGACCAATGGTCCTTCAGTCCCGCAGCAAACTGGCGGCCGCCGCTGGAGAGCAGCCCGGGAGCCCCTGTGCCAGCGTCAGCTCCAGAAGTTCCTGCAACTGCCTCTTTCTTTCTGGGGATTGCGCAGAAACCTGGCGAGCGATGTCTTGGCACATCTGCGCACGGCAAACAGGGGGACAGGGAGGAAATGAATTGTGGCAAATGATGCGAAATAAGAGGACTCGAAAGTTATACGACGACGCTGCGCAAAAGCGGCTAATTACAAAAGGAACCAGTAGTGCTACTGAGACGCAACGCTTCAAGCAAGCACCACAGCCTCCACTGCCTTCCTAGGCTCGCTACACTGCCAACCCGTCTGCCTAACCTCCTTTTGCCTCCTTCTCTGATATACTGTTAATACTCAATGTATCTTTCTCTATACAGACATACATATGACTACTATACATGGGACTCTCGCTGCGCGTTTCTCCGCTCCCTGCTGTATCCGCCTATTCAGGGTCACTGCTACTGCTCGAGACTCACTTTGACCGCGAGACCCTCCTCATCGGGCAGAGGAACTCTAAGGCCCTTTCTGATGAGCTCTGCCCCTTTGGCCGCCCAGATATCCGCAGCAAACAAAACCCCAAAGGCCTCCGCACACATCGCCAGCGCCCGTGGGTTGTCCACCACGAAGTCCGACAACTGCCCGATCAGGACATCGCCGAAACTGATCCAACAAACGAGAAAACAGCACGCGCAAGCAGGAAAATAAGAATAATGCAGCAGCACAGAAACACAATGAAACAGCAACAGCGCAACAACTGCTGCTGCAGCCGACAGCGCAGACACGGAATAACACCTCGAAGATAGTTCGCAAGAGAAAAGCGGCTTCACCTGCAGCAGTGGCGGCGTCAGCGCAGCAGCCAACACAGCAGCAGTGGCAGCAACTTACTAGTCGAACAGCACCTGTAGATCTGCTGTTGCTTTCAAATGCTCAGCAGCAAGCGAACCGATGAGCACAGCGTAACGTGCGCTGTCTGCTGGCCGCGAGTCGCCCAACCCTTTCTTGAAAACCGCTGAGATCTGCGCGGCGCTGTCATGCAGCGGCAAACTAAGGGAAACGAACTCTGATAAAGAGCTCCTGTGTGGACAACCGCAACCGCAGAAAGTTCAACAAATATAAATAGAGAGTCTCATTTGATAGTCGTCTGCAAGAGCACCAGGCAGCAGCGGCTGCTGCGGCTGCATTTGCTGTTGCTGGCAAAGATGCTGAGAAATGCGCATCAGTATATACGTTTGTGGCGAATGCAACTTAGGCGGCACGCGTGCACGCATGTTCGTGCATGTCCCCTGTCCAATGCTGCAGCGCCGGATTCTGTAGACTCACTCTATAGGGCACTTCTCCACTACGAACTCAAAAGTAAGAAGATCCACTTCCTTCTTCATCACCTGCGCCTCGTACGGTCGCGACACTTCAGTGGCCGCCGAGGCTTTGCTGCTGCTACTGCCTGCTGCTGCTGCTGCTACCGGAGCTGACAGCACTGCTGCTGCTGGTGATACGACAGAGCTGCGCGAAAATGCAGGCGTGCCGCTGCTGCTGCTGCTGCCTGGCGTCCTTGTCACGGTGGTCTTAGTAGTAGGAGTTGGTCGTTTGCTATTTGCTGTCGCCGTTGTTGCTTCCCCACTGGCAGCAGCAGCAGCTCTCTTGTTGCTAAGCAGAACCCGCTGCTCCTCCAAGTAGCTCTTGTATGGCATTTCCCGGCGCAACCCCACCGTAAGAAACACACCGTCTTGCGCCACCTTGATAGCTCCCCCCATCAGCTCGTCCCTCTTGGCCTGAAGCAGCATCCAGTAGCAACAAAGGCAGGCTTAGGCTTGGGTGTTTGCCGAATGAAATCAACACATCCACTCCACATCATAGACAAACACGGTCACTATGCCACAGAGGTTGTCTGCCTCGATCATCTCGAAGCAGTCTCTAAGGCGAAGGAACCCTATATCCTCAACCTAGTGAGAAGAGCAGCGCCCACACTGTTACGTCTACGGGTCATCTAGGGTTAAGGCTCTATAGTTTGCGTCTCTCTGATTTCCCTGCCTTCAACCCCCGCAAGTTTTTCGCTACTGCCCAGAGTTTAGAGGTATGCTTTCGCCAGCAGGACCACGCAATTCATGTTTTTAGCTCAGGGTTTAGCGTTTAGGGTTTGCGCCTCACATCTTCTCTGATCTGGGCCACGGACTTCGCCACGTCTCTGAAGACCTTCTTGGTCCAGTGGCGCTGCCTCAAGTCCAGAAGGTCCTGGATCTTGAAGGTGATGCGGCTCGAATAGCCAGCGCGCAGCTGCAGTTCCTGCAGCTTTCCAATGAACTCGTTCATCATGGCGCGAGAGGAGTCTTGGGAATCCATGGTGTACCCTAGAGAGCAGCCACCAACACAGCCCACCCCATTCAACTGGCAAGCCACTCTTCACCTTGCATTCAACTGCTCAGCCTGAAACTTTACGGCGCTGTCGCTGGGGCTAAGGACGCATGCGACAGCCACGCCGCTGCAAATGCTATTCGTTTCCCCGCTGTTGGCGTTTCTGCTGCCGCTCCTGCTTACCAATAGTGGTGAGAAGCTCGGTGAGGCACTCTATGAAGTGCTCGTCTGGGAACGCGTCGCCCTTGCTGCTGAAGACGAGGGCGTGCACAACATCATTCAGTACATTGGGGCTCAGCGCCCGCCTTAGGAAAAGCTCTCCAATAAACCTCATGTTGCCCAACACCCTGGTTTTCTTCTTCTTCAGCAGCTTCGCCTCATCGTCCGCGTCTTGGCACTCAGCGCGTTCCTCCTCAGTTATCAGCAGCACGTTCTTACCCTGCAGTCTGAGACGAACACAAGCAGCAAATGGTGCGAGACTGCACGATAAATACATAAAAGAAGGGAGAAAAAGCAAACTGCAACATGACCAAACAGAAGGCATGCTGCGGTGGTAGTGGTTCAACAGCAGCGAGCTGGGCCGTGCAGCAGGACTTCGGGTAAAAGCTGAGGCTCAGTTTCTCTGGCCGTTTTTCCCCATTCTTGTCTTTCTTCTGAGTCACAAAGGGGTACTTTCTTAATAAAAGTGCATTTACGCACCTCTCAAACTCATCTTGGCACCTGTTCACGAAGGTCCTGTGGAAGTTGATCTTGCGCTCTTCACCTGGCACCGTGAAGTCGGGGCTCCTCCAGCGAATGATCTGGTACAGATCTGCGTACATTTCACTGTACTCGGGCTCGGACACGGCCTGCAGAGCGTCGAAGCAAGCAGCAGCGCAGCAGCAACAGCTCACAAATGAGTGCGAACCCAAAAAGCTAGAGCAGGAAACGAGGGAAACGGAACCACGAGAACAAATAAACGAGTTGCACGGTTGCCATGTGTAGGAACAATGCAGACACGCACACAAAAAGGCAAAAACGCACAGTGAAGAAAAGCAAATTTATGCATGTATGGCAGCACCACATGTCACGCAGCAGGTGTAGCAGCGAGCGCTGTAGCAACCCCAGCAAAGCAGCAGTAGGAAAAACTCTTGAAGCAGCAAGCAGCGCAGCAGCAGGCGCCACGCTGTCTACAGCCACAGCAGCAACAGTAGCAGCAGCAGCCGTAGCAGCGTACCTTGTTGAACAGGAGGTCAGAGAGGAGCTCGAGGTCCGCGACGGAGTCAAACTGCTCGGCCTCGAGGCAAATTTTCTCGCAAACGACGCCGAAGTTGTCTATTGTCAACTTGTTCAGCAGCGCGTTCAAAGAGCGCCTTTTTCTTTCTCTAGGGTCTATTTCCCGACCCACGCGGAATCCCGTGGACGTCGACAAACGGCTCATAGACGACTGCTGCGCCTGCGAGCCATAACAAATGGTGACAGTGCAAATTCATGAACTGCATTTGCCACAGAAAGGCAATTTTACATGCAGCTGAAATACAGATATATGTGTATGCATACCTGTGCATGCATGAGTGCATGCGTATATACGTGCATATTCGTACAAGTGCCGAAAACAAACAGCCTAAGGCCAACTTTTAAACTCGCAGAAACGAATAACGACAAATATCAACTGACACTGCCTTCAAGACGAATTCAGAAAAATACAGACATGAGATGCGTACGCATGCATATGTGCATTTTATACACGAATACTATGTGTACACAAGCAGACATTTCCACACAAACGTATGTATGTACACACATTAATTCATATAAATTCATATATAGATAGATGCGCAGGTAAAAGACACAAATGTCCGCGCTAAGGAAGTGAAAAGAAAAACGAGCTCCTCAGGAACAGAGTAGTGAGCACAAAACAGGAGCAGACGAGCAACCAAGAGTTGCTAAATAGAGGAGACCTCGAGGGGCGGAACGACAAAAAGAGGTAAGAGCAGCACAGCAAAGAATTGCAGCAGCAGCAGAGGCCCTTACTGGGGGCTCCCGCGTCGGAGGCGGCGGCCTGTTGCCGAAAAAGCCACTCAGCTTGGTGTACCCGTCCGTGGGGGGCCCTCGGTTGACTGCAAGGGGGCCCCTGGGGGCCCCTGCTCCTCCGCCCTGCGCAGCAACAGCAGCAGTAGCAGCAGCAGCAGACGATGGCAACAGCAGCAAAGGGAACGCCACCCTGACAGCGCTCTAGCTGTTCCCATCATGCAGCAACTATTCAGCAACAGCAAGAGTCAAGCCAAAGAACCCAAATCAATAGCAGCAAATAGAAAAAAATGCTAATATTTAGACTTCAAATGCAAACACATATATTTCTACACGCAGCTGCACCCCCTCTAGAGCCCTACCCCTCGCCACGAAAGGGCCCCTGCAGCCGCGCTGCCTGGGGCGTTCAATCTGCTGTCTCCTTGGCGGTCTCCTCCGTCGAGTTCTCCCGGGCCTCGCAGCGACCTGAACGCGTTGTTGCTACTGCTGCTGCTGCTGCTGTTGGTGCTGCTGCCGCCTGCGGCTGCTCCTGTGCCTGGCCTACGCACGCCCCCAAACAGACCGGCTCCCAAGCCGTTCACGATGTTGCTGCTGCTGCTGCTGCCGCTGCTGCTGCTGCTTGCAGCCGTGGGTCCGCTGCGGCGCTGCCAGTCCCTCAAGCCGCCAAGCCCGCTGCTGCTGCTGCTGTTATTATTGTTGCTGCTGCTGCCGAAGCTGCCGCTCTGTCGCCGCATCTCCTCTGTGTCACCGCAGCAAAAGCGCCAATCCGGGGGCTCGATATGAGGCCTTAGTGCTTTGAAGAGGCCGACGAGCTCGCTTATAGAGTACTGGCCAGGCGCTGCTACTGCTGCTGCTGGTGTAGCGGGTGCCTTTGCTGCTGCGGGTCCTGCACCCAGCGCC